GGAACAGAAATGGTGGAATATATGGGTAAATATAATAGACTTTCTCTCAAAATTTTTTTTTAAATTCTGCTTTATGGTTGAAGACAAAAAGTATAACCCTGACACAATGTTTATAGATGTAGTAATACATAAACAACTACCAAATGAAGTAGGGGTAGTAAAGACCCTGAGGGGTGGTAAGGTTTCTACATTCCTCTCAACGTGATAAAATATCATGAAAAGATAAGGATGTGTTTTGTAATTCCTAAAGCAACCACTAAAAATGTTGTACATAGAGATATAATAACACGCACACATATATACACACACACACACAATAAATAAAATAGAATACTAAAAGTACTCAGGTAACCTCAAAGATAGCATGAGGTGGGAAACAAAAAACAGAGGGAACAAACAAAATAAAATGGTAGGTTTAAATTCAAACATAAATAAATCTATAAAATGCAAATAGTCTAAACAAATCAATTGAAAGGCATTGGCAGACCGCTTTTTCATGATGCCTCAGAGGCGGTCGGCTGCTTTAGGAGGAAGCTGAATCTCTCTTTCCCAGCCACTGGCTGCCAGAAACTCACTGAGGTGGACAATGAATGCAAATTCCCTGCCTTTAGTAAGAAGTCTATGGCCTGATGTTCTGGGTGAAGAATGGAGGGGTTATATGGTTCTAATTGGAAATGACAAACAAGGTTTCTCCATGAAGCAGGTATCTCAATCCATGGCCATGTCTGCCTGCTGCTGAGTAAGGGTCATTTCTTTTATAGACCAAAGAGTTGTTTTGTATCTTGTCTGATGGAGTTGTTTTGTATCTTGATTATTGTGGTGGTCACACAAATCTACTAGATGATAAAATTTTGCCTGGCTGGTGTGCCTCAGTGATTGAGTATCAGTCTACGAACCAGGAGGTCAGGGTTTGATTCCCAGTCAGGGCACATGCCCAGGGTGTGGCTCAATCCCTGTGTGAGGCATGCAGGAGGCAGCCAATCAATGATTCTCTCTCATCATTGACCTTTCTCTCTCTCTCTCTCTCTCCTCCCCACTCTCTGAAATAATTTTTTTTTTAAAGAAAAAAAAATCACTGAACTAAATACAAACACATACATATGCTTAAGTACATGTAAAACTAGTGAAATTAGAATAAAGTATATGGGTTATATTAATGTCAATTTTTCTTTTGCAGTTGTACTATTGTTACCTAAGATTTGAAGATGTTACCATTGCGTAGAATTGAGTTAAGATTACTAGTTTGCTAGGCTGCCGTAACAAAGAACCACAGGTGGGTGGCTTAAACAATGGACATCTATTGTGTCCTAATTCTGGAGGCTGCAAGTCCAAAACCAAGTTGTCAACCGGGTTGTTTCCTTCTGAGGGCTGTGAGGAAGACTCTGTTCTCTCTTTGTCTTATACACTAAGTGGCCAGATTATTATGATCTCTGAATGCATAATAATCTAGACACTCAGTGTATTTGTATTTCAAATGGGTACCAAAACTATTCTAGACTGTTGTTGGAGATCAACCACCTATTTGCTCTGAGCTTTCTATCAGCCAATGCAGAGGGGAAAACTAATCAGATGTACAATTTATAGTATCTTTGATATCAAATAAATGAGGTATTCAAGAGCAGTACACTAAGTGGCCAGATTATTATGCGTTTAGAGATCATAGTAATCAGTGTATATGGCTATCTTCTCTGTGTGTCTTCACATCATTTTCTCTCTACATATGCCATTATATCCAAATTTTCATGTTTTATAAGGGCATTGGATTAGGAACCACTTTAGTGGCCTTAGTTAAACTTGATTAGTTCTGCAAACACCCTGTCTTCAAATCTCGCTTTTTGAGGTTTTGAGAGTTAGGACTTCAACATATGAATTTGGAAAGGACACAATTCAATACAGAACAGCTCTATGGATCCTTCTGTAGTATTTCTTACAACTACATGACAATCTACAATTATTTCAAAATAAAAAGTTTTTAAAGAGGTAAAGATGGGAAAAAATCAAGTCACAAAGTTTTCTCTGATCATAATAAAATAAGACTAGAAATCAATAACAGAAAAGTCTTCAAGTAGTTGGAAATTATTTTTTAATAAATCTTTATTGTTCATATTATTACAAATGATCATTTTCCCCCCCTCCATTGCTCCCCTCCACCAGGTTTCCACCCCACTCTCTGCCCTTTCCCCACCCCCCATTGTCCTCATTCATAGGTGCACAGTTTATGTTCAGTCTCTTCCCGCACCCTCCACTCCCCTTTTTCCCAAGAATCGTCAGTTCACTCCCCTTCCATACTTCTGATTCTATTATATTCACCAGTTAATATTGTTCATCAAATTTTTTTTAATTCCCTTGGTTTTTAGATTCACTTGTTGATAGTTATGTATTTGTTGTTCATATTTTTTTAATCAATCTTTATTGTTCATATTATTACAAAGGTTCCTCATTTCTTCCCCCCTCCACCAAGTTGTTGTTCATAATTTTTATCTTTATTTTCTTTCTCTTCTGAAAGAACCCCCTTCAACAATTCATATAATTCTGGTTTGGTGGTGATGAACTCCTTTAGCTTTTTTTTTTTATTAGCGAAGCTCTTTATCTGGCCCTCGATTCTGAGTGATGGCTTGCTGGGTAGATTATTTTTGGCTGTAGGTTCTTGTTATTCATCACCTTGAATATTTCTTGCCATTCCCGTCTGGCCTGCATGGTTTCTGTTGAGAAATCAGCTGACAATCGTATGGATGCTCTTTTATAGGTAACTACCTGCTTTGCTCTTGCTGCTTTTAATATTCTCTCTTTGTCTTTTGCTCTTGGAATTTTAATTATGATTTGTCTTGGTGTGGTCCTCTTTGGATTCCTTTTGTTTGGGGTTCTGTGCACTTCCTGGATTTGTAAGTCTAATTCTTTCACCAGGTGGGGGAAGTTTTCTGTCGCTATTTCTTTCAGTATGTTTTTGGTATCTTGCACTCTCTCTTCTTCTGGGACCCCCATAATTCTGATGTTGGTTCGCTTGAAGTTGTCCCAGAGGTTTCTTACATTATCTTCAACTTTCTGGATTCTCTTGTCTTCTTGCTTCTGCAGAGGAGTGTCCTCTGGCTCTTTATGTTCCAAATCTTTGACTTGATTCTTGTGATCTTCCATTCTGTTTTTAGGACTCTGTATAATATTTTTTATTTCAGACAATGTATTCTTTTTTTTTTGTTGTTGATCCTTTATTATTTCTTGTTGATCCCTTATTATTATTTATTGATCCCTTTTCATATCCTCATAGGTCTTATCAGCCTTTTCTAGGAAATTCTTAAAAAACCTTATAAGTGTGATTTTGAACTCTATATCCAGTCACTTTTTGTCCTCCATTTCTTTAGTTTGTGATCTGTTTCCTTGTCTCAGCATTTTTGCAGCTTCCCTGAGTTGGTAGCCTTAAAAGTCTCTGTGTTCAGCTTGGATGGGGCGGAGGGTGGAGCCTACAACCTTGGCTTCCATCAGCCACACCCTATGAGGCTCCTGAGTCTCAGTATTCCTCAGGGTTCTCCGGTACATGCTGCGGGCACCTCTGAGAGAAAGGCGCCCTTGAGTTTTGCCAGCCACTAAACAATATAGGCTCTCCCCCAATGAGCCCGGAACTGGGGTTCAGTTCAGTTGGAAGTGGAGTTGGAGGTGGTGTTCAGAGCAGTCTGGAGCTTTTTGTCTCCTTCCCACCAGGGCAATCCAGAGGCACAGTCAACTGTCTGTTCTCTGCGCACAATGTGCACACCTCCGAGGGCTCTGCCTTTCGCCGCTCCCCGAGATTCCGCCTCACAGCCCAGGCTACCTCTGTATGAGCCTGGGTCCCCAGGGTCTAGCCCAGAACTGGGGTTCAGCACAGTCTGGAGCTTTTAGCTCCTTCCCGCTAGGGAACACCTGCCAGGCACTCAGTCGCCTCCTCCTCTCTGGCTCCATCCTCTCCGCATGAGCAACGTGTCTCCATACCTTAGGCTTTTACAGCTCCTCTGCTTTTCCTTCTGGTTTTCTCTTTCCTTCTTTTTGCAGAATTTCTGGTCAGTCGACTTTCCTGTAGTTCTGGGTAATGTCCATTTTGTATTTTAGTTGTATTTTATTGAAATTGTTGTGTGAGGCTTCGGTTAGGTGTTTACCTGTGCAGCCATCTTGGATCCTCCCAGTACTTGGAAATTAAGTAGCATACTTCTACATAAATCTTTGATCAAAGAAACAGTCTCAGGGAAAATAAATATATATATTGATTTTAAGACTTCTCTCTTTAAGAATCATAAGATAATAAACTTATGTTTTTTAAGCCACTAAATTTTTGGTAATTGGTTACAGCAGCAGTAGGAAACTAATATGACTACAGATGTTCTGCTCTCTTCAGAACAAAGTACTGCCTACTAACTTCCTCATCAACACTTCACTCTTACGAAACACAAGTGAGCCTCATATGTCTTCTAAATCCCTAACGGGGGGAAAGTGAAACAGAGAAGGCAAGGTTGTGTTGTCCTGTGAGGTGTTAAAGATGTTGGCCAAGCAACCCAAGATCTTTCTTCTACACATCTCCAGAGGGAATACTGAGTTAAGCCTTGTTGAATAAAAAGGACTAGAAAGTCTTGTTTAAAAAATCTAAGAGCTCATTACCCTCCACAGAGATTGAGCAAGATCTGTAGAAACCAAAGCCCATGGACTTTTTTTTTTTTTTTTATCCCTACTGGCAATGTTATTACCTTCAGATGGCCATTTTCTAGGCCAAGAAGTTTAAAAGCTGCCCTCCTTACCCATTTCCCAGAGCTCAGCTGTATCTGGCAGCACCTGCCCATCTACAGGTCATCCATCAGCTGAAATGTCTGCATGTGGTTTGCTTCATGTCCATCCTTTAAAAAGCCCCCAATATGCTTTATATCTAATGCATGTAATATGTTCATTTCATGGAAATGGCCCACAGAGGGAACTCATGTGATAGAAGACCCAATAGCAGGTTGGATGGCAGGTCCAGCTAATGGCCTATAAATTTTTTCCAGCTCTTTCTACTTCAGATGGATAAGGATAGCACAATCACTATCACCACTTTCACAGAAAAGACAGCTTTGGATCTGGGCCAGCTATGACCTAAAAATCCACTTAAAACTCATTGAAGAAGCACTTGAAGAATGTGGATCTATGACTAGGAGACAGGCCTGAATAAAATAATGTAATATTTCTTATAACCCAAAAGACAATGGTTACTATTTAAAGAGGGGAACTACTTGATATTGGCCCTAAGGAAACTTAATCTCCAGAATGTGGAATTTTATTATTGATAAGAACAATAACAATATTATTGAGCATCTGTTGTAGTAATCCTGTGGTTATTTTGCTAACAGGAATTCCGCCTCCTACCAGGAACAATGTTTAGATAGGATTTACCTGCCTCCAGCTCAATATGTGAGTCCTGGTTGGTCAAAGCCAATCCTTTATTTCATCCCTCTTGCCACAGTGATTAGTTCAGGGATTAGTACCCAATGAAGACTTGAGCCAATCAGCAGTTGGCATTTCAAAGCCAACTGGTCCAGAGTGTGATAGCACATGACCAAACATAGCTTCACTAGAAGAAGCCCAGGATTTTTTATCTAAGGTGGAGGGAGAGACATTCTCTCTTTTTTGCTATGATGAGGTGCATGCAGTCCTGCAGAGTGAGAGCATTCATCTTGCAAGAAGGAAGGAGGCTGTCTGGGATGAGGCCAACATCCTGAAGGACCTTGTGACTTCCTTGGGCAACTAGATTAAACCAACTCCTAAGCCTACCCTCTGGGTATTCAGTGACATGGAGCAACAAACTCCCTTGTTATTTAGGCCAGTGTGAGTTTGGTTTTTTCTGCTTGCAACTGATGCACCAACTATATATCAGGCACTGTGTGAGTGGCTTTCACACATTCTATCTCAATCTTCAACATGGCCCAGTGATGGATGTGTTATCATCCCTTGTTTACAGATGTGAGGTGTTCTAACTTCAAAATGCTGTGAAGTGGAGGAGCTAGAATGCAGCCTCAGATGTCCATCCCTCAGATCTCTGCTTTCCACCAGAATCTGTTGGAAGACCCCTCCTCAGTGCCACTCTCTGCAGTAATCCAGCAGATAAGCCCTAGAGATATTTTCCCTATAGTCATACAGACTGCTATATTTCATATCTGGCATCCTGTTTCAGGATTTAGATATTTCTTTTTTTAAATTTTTTTTATTAAATTATTATCTGTGTACATATTTTAACATTGCCCACCTCCCATACATCCCCTCCCTCCCAGAGTTTTGTGTCCATTGGTTGTATTTATATGCGGGTATACAAGTCCTTCAGTTGATCTCTTATCTCCCCCAGATCTCCCTACCCTCCCCACTTTAATTTGACAGTCTGCTTGTTGCTTTACTGTCTTTATATCTGTCTTTTGGTTCATCAGTTTATAATGTTCTTTAATATCCATAAATGAATGAGGTCATGTGGTATTTCTCTTTCATTGACTGGCTTATTTCACTCAGCATGATGTTCTCTAATTCTATCCAGGTTGCTGCAAATGATGAGAATTCCTTCTTTTTTATGGCAGCATTGTGTAGATGTACCATAGTTTTTTGATCCAGTCATCTGCTGATGGATACCTAGGCTGTTTCTAAATTCTAGCTATTGTAGATTGTGCTGCTATGAACATAGGGGTGCATATATCCTTTCTGATTGGTGTTTGTAGTTTCTTGGGATATATTCCTAGGAGTGGGATTACTGGGTCAAATGGGAGTTCCATTTTCAGTTTTTTGAGGAAACTCCACACTGTCCTCCACAGTGGTTGCACCAGTCTGCATTCCCACCAGCAGTGCACGAGGGTTCCTTTTTCTCCACAACCTCGCCAACACTTGTCATTTGTTGATTTGTTGATGTTGGCTACTCTGACAGGTGTGAGATGGTACCACATTGTTGTTTTGATTTGCATCTCTCGGATAATTAGTGACTTTGAGCATGTTTTCATGTACCTCTTGGCCTTCCTTCTGTCTTCTTTTGAAAATATTCTATTTAGGTCCATTGCCCATTTTTTAATCAGATCATTCATTTTCCTTTTATTTAGTTGTATAAGCTGTCTATAGATGTTGGAGAGGATTTAGATATTTCTTACAAGTGTTGATGAATCATTGTATTATAAAAAAAAAAAAGTAATTAACAAATTCATCATTATAAAGACACTAAAGGCCCAGTGCATGAAATTTGTACATTGAGGGGGTGTCCCTCAGCCTAGCCTGCACCCTCTTGAAATCTGGGACCTCTCGGGAGATGTCTGGCTGCCAGTTTAGGCCAAATCCCACAGGGATTCCTCCCTCTCACAATCCAGGACCACTAGCTCCTAACTGCTCACCTGCCTGCCAGCCCGATTGCCCCTAACCACTCTGCCTATTTACCTCATCACCCTTAACCGCTCACCTGCCTGCCTCATCACTCCTAACTGCTCACCTGCCTACCTGATTGCCCCTAACCACCTCTATCTAGGCTTCCAGCCGCTGCAGCTTCATCCAGGAAACCTGGAATGACAACCAGTAGGTCGTTCAGCTGTCCAGTCTAATTAGCATATTACACATTTATTATTATAGATTGCAGAAAGATCTTATAGAGTTCTTGTTGGCATTTTAGACAGAATTAAACTCCAAGATCCCAAAGGTAACCTAAGTATGCATGTATCTAATCTTAAATTAAGGTGATCAGACATCCCGCTTTTGGCGGACAGTCCCAATTTTTAACAATTTGTCCCGAGTCCCACGGCGATTTTTTTTCCAAAATCGGGACTTTTTTAAAATGCGGCGGGACACGGGACAAATTGTTGAAAATCGGAACTGTCCCGCCAAAAGCAGGAGGTCTGGTCACCTTATATTGGGGGCATACACTAAAATTTTATTCATTGTTTATCTGGAATTCAAATGTCACAGGGTGTCTGGTATTTTGTCTGGCAACCCCACTATTGAGTCTGCCGCATCAGCAAGGTTGAAGCAGGGATGGCACAATGGGAGAGTAAATCATGAGATGGGGGAGGACATGGCAGAAAACCACAAGCCATGTGCAGAGACACCTAGGCGTACCTGTTACCTGATGTGGAACCAGCCCCAGTTGCTTCAATGGTTACCTAGTCATATGGAGAAGTCCGTAATTCACAATGGTTCACTTCCTCCCCCTTTGAAGATTTTTATTCTTGTAAAACATGAACCTTAATAATCACCACTTAAGTTGTATTACTATCTAATTTACTATTTATAACTCTTATATTAAGGAAACTCTAGTGCAAATACCAACTATCTACTTTTTCTAATCCCTTTCATTCAACCTTTCACATATTTTTCAGGCACATATCTTGTCTCAGCTATAGTGATAGTGGTGGAGGATATAACTTGAGGCTAAAACAGGACCCTACCTTCAAAGACTCCACTCATTGTCCGGTATAATGGCCTTCAACATTTTTTTATTTTTATTTTTTTAACCTTTTTTTATATAAGTATTAGCTTTTTAAAAATATATATATATTTTATTGATTTTCCACAGAGACTAAGGGAGAGGGATAGAGAACTAGAAACACCAATAAGAGAGAAACATTAATCAGCTGCCTCCTGTACATCCCCTACTGGGGATATGCCCGCAACCAATGCACATGCCCTTGACCGGAATCGAACCTGGGACCTTTCAGTCCCCAAGCCGACGCTCTATCCACTGAGACAAACCGGTTTCAATTCAACATTTTTTTAAAATCATTTGCTCCATCAGTTTAAAAAAAATTCAACAGATCTCAGCTTTTGTAAATTTACTTATGTATTCATCATATACATATCCTATCATATATAACAGTGATAAATATACACTTAAATACTTAAATAGTACATACTTATATAAATGAAACTTATGGCAATAAACAATATAAATATAAATTATAACATTTTTGTTTTCTCTTCCTACCAAGAATCCTCTTACCCTCTTGCATGCTTGAATTCCAATGTGGAAGCCATAGGGCTAGTGGATAAGAAAGTCTGTTAGTAAGTAATTGGGTGCAGTCTGATAAGTCCTGTACCTGGGAAGTTAAAAGAGCACAAAGAGGAATGGGAGCTCAGCTGGGGAAGAGAAGATGGAAAGCTCTATGAAGAGAATCAAAGGATAAGAGGGACTTTCCCAGGAGACTTGAGGATGGGGAATGCTTTTCAGTGGAAGAAAATCACTTTTTAAAAAGCATATTAGTATGAAAGAGGATGACATACCCAAAGAACAGAAGCACCTGCTTATGGTTTAGAAGAGTTAAAGGAAGCGAGATGGGTCATTCTAGAGCAGGCAGGATAGGTGTAGTCTAGGAAACAGTGCAAACCTGAACTCTGAAGCAACTCGCTCCCATGTGCATATTAGAAAGATCAGTTTGATAGAGACGAGAAATTCTAGACGAAATCTTGGAAAACTGAATAAAGGCAGTATATTACATGATAGTTTATTATGCCCAAATAAGATTTATCACAGGATAACCCAGATGGTTTAATATTGGAAAATCTATTAACATAGACTTAGATTACATTTTAATAAAAATTATTTATCCCAATAGATACAAAGAATCTATTCAATATATTCCCAACTTAGAAAACTAGGACTCTCTTAAACAATAAAGAATATCTATCTTAAATATATAGCTAATGTCATATTAAAAGTATTTTAATGAAAGTCAGCTATACAACAAAAATACCAAATACTAGCATTATCATGTCCTATTGTGCTAAACATTCTAGTCGATGCAAAAGACGTTAATACAAACAAGATTACATAGGTGGTACTACGTAGTAAGTGGAAAAGCTGGGTTGTAAACCCTGAGCCTTCCTTCCTAACCGCTACAGCTGGCTGCCCAGACTTGTGCTGGGAGCTGGGAAGATAGCGAGAAGCTTAAGGCTACAGACTCAGAACCTTAAAATACGAACAGGCAAAAGGGTGGGAAATAGCTTAGCTCACTCAATGCCACTAGGTTTAGCATGATACCTAGGACCTTGTAAGCAGGCATTCATCCCTCCATTCACTCCCTGAACAAATATGTATTGAGCGCCCCCTCTGTGCCAAGCACAGTGCTGGCCATGGCTACAATCTGAACAGCACAGGCATGGTCTCCACCACGGAGCTGAGCCTGAAAAGGGGAATCAGGCAGTAAACCTACATAAAGAGAAGTTCATTACAAATTGAGGTGAT